AACAGAGGACCAGATCCTCAGCTAATTGACAACATGGAGGTTCCAGGCCCAGGTTCTGAGAAATAGAATCTGAGAACGCTAGAACTGGAAGGGATCTCGAGAAGTCACCGAGTCCAGGTCTCTGCCCTCACGACAGGACCAAGCGCCATCTAGACCGTGGTACCCAATCAGGTCTGAAGCAGTAACCTAATAGCCACATTGTTCAAGCCAACTAGCCACACTCAACTGGCCAGATAGTCACATGTGGCTAGTATGTTTGACACCATGGATTTAGACCATCCCTGATAGATAGTTATCTAACCTGCTCTTAAATATCTCCAGTGTTAGAGATTCTGCAACCCCCCTAGGCAATTTATTCCAGTTTTTAACCACCCGGACAGTTAGGAATCAGAATTCTAGGGCTGGAAGAGACCTCAGGAGGTCATCAAGTCCAGCTCCCTGCCCAAAGCAGGATCAACCCCAACTCAATCATCCCAGCCAGGGCTTTATCAAGCCAGGAGTTAAAAACCTCTAGGGATGGATATTCCACCCCCGCCCCCCAGGAAACCCATCCCAGGGTTCCCTACCCTCCTAGGGAAATAGTTTTTCCTAATGTCGAACCTGAACCTCTCTTGCTTCTTGTCCTATCTTCACAGGCCAAGAAGAACAATTTTTCTCCCTCCTCTGTGTAACACCCTTTTAGGTACTTGAAAACTGCTATCAGTCTTCTCTTTTCCAAACTAAACAAACCCAATTCTTTCAGCCTTCCCTCATAGGTCGTGTCTTCTAGACCTTTCATCATTTTGTTGTTCTTCTCTGGACCTTCTCCAAATCTTCCTTGAAATGCGGTGCCCAGAACTGGACATAATACTCCAACTGCCTAATCTCCAAATCTTCCTTGAAATGCGGTGCCCATAATACTCCAACTGCCTAATCCGTGCAGAGTAGAGCAGGAGAACGACTTGTGTCTTGCTCACAACACTCCTGTTAATGCATCCCAGAATGATTTTTTGGGGGGGGAGGGGGGTTTCCAGCAGTGTCACACTGTTGACTCAAATGTAGCTTGTGGTTCACTCGGACTCCTAGATCGCTTCCTGCAGTATTCCTTCCTAGACACACCAGACTCTCAAATGGGGTATTTGCGCTATGGAGTCTCGGCTTAGATGGCAATTTGGCAAACGTTTGCTGAACTCACATCGGTGGCTGTAGGACTAGAGTCCCTGCTTACGGTGTTTTGCTGAGTCGGGTCCTTGCAACAGGTAAGACACAGCTCTCAGAGTTCAGGAGAATAAAAACAAGGACGACCCGGGGCTACCAGATGGTGTGAGCAGGTTGGAAATAGCCTTTCCAGGGAGCATTGCTACTACAGAAGCACCAGGTCCAAACAAATGGGAGAGCTAGTCCTGTTGCTTTAAACAAGACTGGGCCAGTAAGAGCACTTAGAAACATAACCCCTGCAATCAGGGAGCCAGTAGAATTGCTGGGCCCCAGGGCGGGCGAGAGGGGGCAGCTCTGTGCTCCCAGAAAGGCCAGGGCAGGGGGTTAGTCCCTTCCCTCCCCACTAACCCTTTAGCACTGCCTGGAGCATGCCATGTGACGGTTCAGCTGTGATTTAAAGAGCCCAGGGCTACCAGTCTCTGCAGTAGTAGCGACCAGGAGCCAGAATCACTCAGCTCAGGAGCAAGGGCCAATGAGCATCCCTCTGTTGGTGGGCCTGCCTGCGGTGTAGCAGTTCATGAGCCATGGGGGCCAAATTGTGCCCGCAAACAGCCCGTTATTTTCAGACCTTCTGCCTAAGTGCCTTAAAAAAAAGGTTGGTCAAAGCTCTGTGCAGTTCCGTGATCCACTTGGGAGATAAAAGAAACCAAGGGCTGGTTTGTGCACTAGGAAAAGTGCCCATTGTTTGTTAATTACTCCTTGCTTGACATTAATATGTGAATCACCCTGTCCAAAGAGCGTCTTGCCTCTTGATTCAAACCATCAATCGCTGAAATGGGGGAGATGGGGAGGGGGGAATTCTGTAGCCTGTTTTTTCCATGCCTGCTTAAACCAAGATTCCTATTCAACTGGGAACAGGGAATGTGTAAACCAGAGATAAATCGGACCCCAACTCTCAGGTTTTTGCAGTGCAGGAGACAGAGATCCCTGGTGGACAGTGGGATGCACAGCAACAGATAGGTGTGAAATTTCACACCTACCTGCTGGGTGAGACAACTCCTCTAGCTGGGGCTCTCTGTGGTCATGCCAAGTTTCTGAATTAGTGAGCACTGGGGAACTGGGCATAGCTAAGAAAGAACTTGGTCTGTTAAGATGAGTTTACAGTGTCTTCGACATTTTTAAATATTTATTTCTGGGTATTCAGTTCACTGTGGCTTGCTGGCTGTGTTGAATTATTTCAAAACTGAAATTAAGCTGAATGCGCAATATTGGCCTGCAAGGCAAGAGGCAAAAGCCATCTTTCCTATGGAGTTTCTGGGGAAAACGGACCTTCCTATTCCCAGGCCTCCAGGACCGAAGTCTGAACTGTGAGTCTGCCCAAGAGAGGGGATAAGCTCTTGGGATAATGAATGTGTATTCCTCTGTGCACTCTCCAGGAAAGCATACACTTTCTTTCCCAACGTGGGTCCTATGAAGTAGACTATTTGGTTGAGGATGCCGCAGGCGTGGGAACTCTCTGAACTAGCCTTATATTTAAAAGCCAGCAAAATGCAGTCCTGGCACATGGAGCTGTGTTTCTCAAAGGCCAGCCCCGGAGATCCTTTGACACAGTTTAGGAAGGCAGCAAGCCCGGGCCCTGCTATCCAAAGGGTTGAGAAACACTGCGACAGAGCATCTGAGAAGCAAGTCAATCCAGAGGGAGAACAGCTCTAATCTCAGCCTTCCCCGCCATGTTCTACACGGCTACGCAATCCGGTTCGGACTTCTCCCGACACCAAGCGCATGTCGATGCCCAAGGCACAGCAGCCCCCAGGGATGAGCAGGGTGCGGAAGGGGTTCCTTTCACTTTTGCGCTAGGAAATCCAAGCCCTGGAACTGGGTCAGCCCGTCATGTGTCCCACAGCACGCTCCCGGTTTCGTTATGTTAACCTTTGTGCGTCCTGGCTGCTCCTCAGCATGCTCATGTTCCATATAAAATGAGCAGACTCTCTGCTTCCAAATGTGCTGGATGAGATAACACCAACCTCATCCCGCTCCCAAAAATGCCCAGGGAGATGTTGGCTCTTAGCTCTTTAGAGCACACCAGAGCCAATGACTCAGTCAGAGATCAAGAGACTCTGGCTTCCTTGAATACAGATGAAAGCATCAGGCGTGTGAGATCTTTATGAGTTTTACCAAATTTCTCAAGAAACCAGCTAGGCCTAGGGATTTTCCATAAGCTTACTGCAGGGCAGCAAGCAGTTCCTTGGAAGGCGTTTGGCCTGTTTGACTGAGCCCCACCCGGACAGCTCTCATGAACAGTTCATTTTGAGAGAGGAAAAAAAAAAAAACCAGCAGCATTCGGGTGGTCCCAGCTGTTGGCTGAAAGTCCCAAGACCTTCATGCAGCTCACGTATGAGTTTGTATTGCCTGGAAGCACCCGTACCACAACGATGGCTTGGAGATTTCAAATCCCTGCTTTAAACAACCTATTCAATTAATAGCAATCAGCATTTCAGCCACACTCCGCTTGAATTCTCCTGTAAGGACCCAAGTTGATCTTCAAGGGCAGATTCGAGAACATAAACCACATATGGGGCATCCTCACAAATGAATCAAGGGTTTGTGTTGCCCCCAGGGAGAGCTAAATATACATAATTATATACACACATGCAACATTCAGAGACCATTACTACCTGTGCAAAGTCAAGCACTTCAAAAGATAGGAAATGCCAGACTTATGGTAGCCTGGGCATGGAATGAGGCAGTGATCATGACACTAAAGACTATCATCGTGCATCTGCACAAAGGGATCGAATTAAAGTTTCACAGACTACCTGAATTCTGGCATTTCCTCTTTTGAGCCCTGGACTTTGCAACCTTAAGAATGTTCTCTGTGTGTGTGTGTGTGCGTGCGTGCATGCGTACGCACAGGACTTTGCAAGCTTTGACCAGGTTTTTAAGAAAGCAAACTAAAAAAACCTCCAAAAATTCCACCCTACAGTATCATATGAAATCAAGAAATCTGATGAGGTTCAACAAGGACAGATGTTGAGTCCTGAACTTGGGTCGGAAGAATCCCAAGCATTGTTACAGGCTAAGTAGCAGTTCTGCAGAAAAGGCCCTGGGGACTGCAGTGGATGAGAAGCTGGATATGAGTCAACAGTGTGCCCTTGTAGCCAAGACGGCTAATGGCATATTAGGGCGCATTAGGAGGAGCATTGCCAGCAGATCCAGAGAAGCGATTATTCCCCTTTATTCGGCTTTGGGGAGGCCACATCTGGAGTATTGTATCCAGTTCTGGGCCCCCCACTATAGAAAGGATGTGGACGCATTGGAGAGGGTCCAGCGGAGGGCAACCGAAATGATAAGGGGGCTGGAGTGCATGACCAATGAGGAGAGACTGAGGGAGTTGGGTCTGTTTAGTCTGCAGAAGAGAAGAGTGAGGGGGGACTTGATAGCAGCCTTCAACTTCCTGAAGGGAGGTTCCAAAGAGGACAGAGAAAGGCTGTTCACAGTAGTGACAGATGACAGAACAAGGAGCAATGGGCTCAAGTTACAATGGGAGAGGTCCAGGTTGGATATTAGGAAAAACTATTTCCCTAGGAGGGTGGTGAAGCACTGGGATGGGTTACTAGGGAGGGGATGGAATCTCCATCCCTAGAGGTTTTTAAGTCTCGGCTTGACAAAGCCCTGCCCGGGTTGATTTAGTTGGGATTGGTCCTGCCTTGGGCAGGGGGCTGGACTTGACCTCTTGACCTCTTCCAGCTCTGTGATTCTATATTGATACCCCAATGAGATACAAAGTAACAGCTCTTAACCCATCATGTGATCACCAATCACGTGGCCAATATAACTTAAAACCCTCGCTGCACTTCCCCGCTAGAGCAGCTAGACAGACATCTGACCCTGGAGTTGTCACAGTGTCGGCTCAGACAGACAGACTCTGCAGCAGGCCTGGAAAATCAACTACTCTAGTAGTAGCCTTTATACTGTAGAAGATAGGCCAAAGCCATTCAAATGAATCACTTCAGGTTTGTTTTTGGATGCCAAATAGGCTAGGAGCTGAAAGAGACATGCCTGGTGGGTTATGAGCTCTCAGAGCAGGGCTTAAAAAAATAAACCCTCAGCGTTGGTCCACAGGCCCAGGCCTGTATGAATTCTTATCTCTCTACAGCAAGAGACACTGGCTGGAAATGCTGCCAGGATTGGAGGCAGAGGGGAGGAAGCCAATTCCATGCCAGGCAGTGCGTACAGATGGAAACCCTGGAGTGGGGAGTTCAGCAGAACAGGGAAAACCATCCCGCCTAGATTGCAATAGGCAAAGTAGCAGTTCTGCAGAAAAGGCCCTGGGGATTACAGTGGGCGAGAAGCTGGATATGAGTCAACAGCATGCCCTGGTAGCCAAGAAGGCTAATGGCATATTAGGGTGCATTAGGAGGAGCATTGCCAGCAGATCCAGAGAAGCGATTATTCCCCT